ATGCACCTTGTACAGAGTGTGCTCATTGCCATGACTCATTGCTTCGATACGTAAATACAAATAAGGTTCGTATTTTCCCCACAAATATTCTTTGATATAGTACCCTTTTTTCCTTCTTTTTCATAGTATGTTATGGAATAGGTATAATATGAATGTTTAAGCATAATATAACTTGGACCCTCCTGAAACTAAGTTTTGCCCTTCTCCAGGATGTGCTTTTCCAATGGCTCACAACATCAGATATCCGTTTGAACCAGATGGATAAGGAGGACCCTGAGGTAAGAGATCCATCATAAGGAGGTAAATAATAGTGTGATGTAGCAGCACCAGTTTTGGCAAACTGTGTATTTATCACAAAATGGTTCACAGCTGCATGGAGGCTGTTGTTGCAGACCCTTTATTCAGGGTCAAAGATTGAGTAGACAGTTTAGGTATAAAAAGTAATGGTATTGTATCTCTCAGACTTAGGTTGCTATTCTTTACAAGATTTCTTTTGTGAAAGTCTTCCCTCTGAGCCCTCAGGCAAGATGAAGGTGTGTGAAGTGAAGGCAGGTTTTCTGTGTATGGGTAGGGATCAATCTGTTAGCAATTTTAGCTGGGTTTGTTGGGTTTTTTAACTGACATATGCAAACACTATTTTTAATTGTATCCTCTGTATGCATAAAAAGAACAACAGTCTTGCACAGATGACTAGTAAGTTGTTTCATTTAATTCTAATGAATTAACAGAAATCTAGATACAATGCCCATGTGGCAAGTAGCTTTACAGCTGAGAGAATAGAGTTTGTGCAGATGCCTTGTCTAGTAAGCTGTACTGCAAAAGGTCCTACATGGTTAAAAGTGGAATAATTATTTCTAGATGAGACTTTAGGTGAGAGAGAAACTTGAAAGAGACTATGTAAATGGGTTGGACTCTTTAAACCATAGGCATGTGTGTTTTCAGATTTCAGACTATACCATGCTCCCAGATACAGCCGCACTGTCTGAGCAACTGCGAGTCTGTCTGCAGGAAGGAGATGAGAACCCAAGAGACTTCACAAAGCTGTTTGATATGTCCCTTTATCAGATGGATACAACTGCCCTCCCTTCAGTTATCAAGTCAGCAGATGTGATTTCCTTTCCTTTCCATTCTTGTTCCACTCCTTTCCATTCCTTTCCCTTTCCTTTTCCATTCCATATTATGCATTATCTGTTTGTGCTTAAGAGCAGAAGGGACTGAGCTCTCAGCAGCATTCTGATAATGGATGTACCAGAAGATTGATTTGTACAGTGTGACAGTGATATTTTCTCTTGCTTGTCTTAGCTGTACTTTCTGACATTGTTTCTTCCTTTTTTCTGACTACTGCTGATTCAGTGAACTGATACTTTAGGAGAATTATCTGCAGTGATGTTGGGCACTTTCTGGAGTGATAACGAAGAGCTGGTTGCTTTTCCATTTTTTAATTACTTGGCATTTACTGAATTGCATTTCCCAATAATTGTGTCTGGAGATTGCTACTGTTTTACCAGTTCTGTATTGCTGACAGCTTTGTCCCTCATAACTTCTCTGTTGCCCAGCTCATGTATGAACACATTAAGTAGCAGCAGCCTTAAAACAGATTCCATTAAATTCCACTCTGTTGTGGACACTCTTCTTACTCTGTATTTTTTTGTATTTTCACTAGATGTGAGTCATAGTGAGATCTCCCTTCTGATCCCATAACAGGGTTTTTTTTTTAGATAGCTTTTGGTAGTGGAATTCCTGAAAAGTCTTTTTGAAATCCCAGGTCTGCTCTTTCTGAACGGGATCACTTTGTCCTGATACCTCTATTTAAAAGTTGTTTTAAGTGTAGAAGTGTGATACCCTTATTTTTTATCATCTTACATATCAGCCTATCATTACTCTCTGTCATAATTTTAACTAACTTGCTCGCTGTAGAAGTCAGTTATTACTGATGTGTAAGTTCTCTGGGGTCCTTGTAAAATTAGATATTCCTGAGGTTTTATGCTATGACTGTGCATAACGTCATAGAGACTCTACATCTCTCTAGCCTGCAAGTGGAAATAGATATCGTCATTTCTTCTCTCACACTTGGTCTTTTTCTGTGCTGCAGAGCTTATGAACAGCTGAATGTGAAACATGAACCTCTCCAACTCATTCAGCCTCAGTTTGAGACTCCACTACCTGTTCTCCAGCCAGCTGTGAGTAATTTCCTGGCTAATACAGCCATGGAGAACCCTTCTTTCATGTAAAACATTGGTGTTGTATACATAGTCCTTAAACAACACACACGCACCCCCCAAAGAAAAACAAAACAAAACCCAAATAGTGAGAAATGCTGTAGTAATAATTAGTCACTTTGGAGCTGAATACATTGCAGGAGCTATTTTTTAGGGAAGAGCACTTATTTACACTTCTAATTTTATCAAAAGAGTTTGAAAATGTAACACCTGGTACTATAGCAGAACGTCTTGTGTATATAAACCTCCAGCTCTGCTCAGTCCTGTGAGGTGGTGGTTCAGCCTTTGCTGTGAACAAAGAACGTGGTATTTCAGATGGTAGTGGTGGTGTAAGTCGTGTGCTAGCTGCTGCCAAGGGAGGAGCCAAGCTATCCACTCTTCTTCCATCTCCAAATCCTCCAGGGAAGTAGAAAGTGGAGTGTTTGTCTTTTACAGCAAGGGCTTTACCAGCAGAGATTTGGGCTGGCAACAACAACATGAACTATGGCAGTGTCAGACTTACTTGGACAAGCAAGTACCTTTTGAGTTTTGCCATCATGGCTCTGTCCTTCCTAGCCTTGGCAGCTGAGGAAGGTAATCACTTGTAGCTGCAGGGGTGCAACTGACAGTAGCCTCATGCGCTGCTCTTTAAAAACACAAGCCCAACTTCATGGAATCATAGAATGCTTGGGTTGGACAGGACCTTAAAGCTCATCTAGTTCCAGCCCCCTGCTGTGAGCAGGAACACCTTCCATTAGACCAGGTTGCTCAAAGCCTCATCCAGCCTTGTGGCAAATGTGATTGCATGCAAAAGAAAATACTCTTAGCAGAATGGATGTGATGTATGTTTCCAGGTTGAGGTGTTATGGTGAGCTTAGTACCTCAGCTCCCTCAGCCATCAACTAGATCTCATGGAGCAAAACTGGAAACAAATTGCCAGTGCAGAATGCCTATTTGTGATGCTGGGTAGTAACTCTGGCATACTTGTGACTATTTTGGAATATTCAGTTATTTTTACAAAATATAAATGGAATGTTTAAAGAGGGATCCCATTGTACTGTGGGCTTTGGAGTTGCTTTTGACTTTACAAAAGGTTTCTTAAGTCCAGTCTAAGTCCCAAACGTTTGTCTTAGAGATCTGTAGAAAAAATACGTGGCAATAAACCATGCTAATTCTTCTCTTCAAGGTTTTTCCACCTGCTTTCAGAGAATTGCCTCCCCCCCCTCTGGAGCTGTTTGACTTGGATGAAACTTTTTCTTCTGAGAAAGCTCGTCTTGCAGAGATTACAAACAAATGTAAGCAGAAAGACTGATTGTTTATACATTTCTATAGAAAGTCCCAAGTTTTGGGGGAAAAATTGTTGTATCTGATTTTAAACCATGAGCCTTATTTATGAAAATCCACTGCTATCATTCTGAACTGAGAAATTGGAAGGTCTTGGAAATTGCTAATAGGACTTTATGTACCAGGGGTTTTTACTTTGTTTCTTACATGACATTTTATTATGTTTCTGCCTGCTGTTGCCCATATCATGCATGAATTGCTTTGCACACTCTTGCTGATTATTTTTATGCTTTGAAGCTAAAATGTGAAGATTATTCTAAACACACCTTAAGTCTAAACAAGATGAGAAAGCACTAGCTGGAGTAGTACTGATGGAGTGCATCATGGCTAGTCCACTCATCTTAGTTATAGAACTTAACATCCCAGAATGGCAACGCCAAACAGAGATTCGTAATAAGCTTTTGCTCAGTTGATACAGAGATGTGTGATATTCAACTGCCTTCTTCTCTGGGGTGCTTGTTTAGGTACTGATGATGACCTGGAGTTTTATGTACGAAAATGTGGCGATATCCTAGGAGTAACAAGTAAACTCCCAAAGGACAAGCAAGATGCCAAACATATTCTGGAGCACATCTTTTTCCAAGTGGTTGAGTTTAAGAAACTGAACCAGGTATTTTCAATAACAGCATTACAAGTGAATAGTTGATAGTGTCAGCACAGGCTAATGCATCTTTGTAGTCGCTACACTTCTCACAGGCAAGTGGTACAGTGAGGTGTTAAGATGTTTGTTGTATGATAAATTAGACCAGTGAAGTGTGGACAGTTAATCTGTATAGAATGTGTAGTGCTCAGTTTATTAATTCTCACATTCATTTTAATTGGAGGGTTAATACATGCGAGTGTAGTTTTGGTAATTTCAGTTAAATACAGTTCATCAGTGGTGCATGGAGTAAAAGCAGTGTGCTCTCATGAATGGTCATAGGGCTCCCTAGTGCTACAGTTTGGATGCAAAACCAGCAGTGTTACTCACAGGTGGTACTGTGTGCAGAAATAATTCTTCATAGTAAATTTGATGCTTCAAAGTTTGGAGCTTATCAGCAGATCATCTGTTTGTACTAACAAGTATTCCCTGTATCTCAAATAGTCTAATTCAGCCAAAAATCAGACATTTCTACTCTATTGTTAATTATTTTTTTTTTTTTCTCCTCTTCCCTTTCCTAAGGAACATGATACTGACACAAGTGAAGCTGGATTCCAGATTGGTCACTGAGACGGGGCTTTCCCTAGTTTGAGACAAGCCTTTTAGTTAAAATATACTTTTCCTTTCCTTCCCCCCCCCCCCCCACCCTCCTCCCCCCCCCCCCCAACCTCCATGTACAGTATATTGATTGGGACCATCTCAGTAGTTCACTGAATATTTGAATCATTTATGTGTAATAGTTTGGATAATTAATGCCTTTTGTGGAAGAACTTGTATTTTGAAAGCATTCCAAGTAATTTCATATTTTTCTACTTCTTTATTAAAACTGTAATTTTATAATATATGGAAAAAAAATTTTGTACAAAGAAAATGTGGGTTGGGTCCTTCTTCCTGGGTCTAGTGTTTATTTTCTTGTAGCAAAGCTTACTGTGGGTTCTGTTTGTACACATAGTCCTTAATTGTGGGAAAGATTGTTCTTCTGGTTTGTGAACTGTAGAAAAGAAAATATAGCCATAAATACAGGAGCTGCTGATAATAATGCAGTGTGTCACCCTGAGGCAGTCTCCTGTTGTCTCTGCCAAACTGAACCAAGGAGAGGTGTGTTTGTAACAGGAGAAAGGAAGGGAAGAATTGAAATTAAGCAGTAATGACATCATTGCAGATCGCTGCCTCACATAAGACTGGAACTACATTGTTTTGAAATGAAGGGACAGCATTTGGATGAAAAAGACTTTAAGATTCAAAGGATTATTATTAAGAAAATGTGGTACTGTGCAGAAACTCAGGAATATTTTTGCTTACAGTTACGTGATCTCTAGCCCATTCCCAGAGACAGTGAGCTAGGTAATGCACAAGAGTGGAAATTCAAGTGCAATTTATCGACCATGAAATGTTGAAGCAGAACAGGTCTGTACTGTCCTGTGGTGTTTATAGTTGTCATGGTTTAAGCCCACCTGGTAACTCAGCACCACGCAGTCTCTCATTCACTCACTCCCTTCATCCCCCCTGCTCCGGGCAGGATGAGGAGGAGAATGTGAACCCCACGGGTTGAGATAACAGTCCAATAACGAAAATATAATACAAAACTACAACTAATAATGATAAGGGAAATAACAAGGAGAGAGAATATGAAACTAAAAAGGGAAAGGAAAACAAACACAAGTGACACCCAATACTCACCACCCACTGACCGATACCCAGCCTGACCCAAGCAGCGATCTGGGCCTTCCAGGTAACTGCCCCCAGTGTCTATCGTGGGCATGACGTGCTGTGGGATGGAATACCCCTCCGGCCAGTTTGGGTCAGGTGTCCTGTCCCTGTTTCCTCCTGGTTTCCCGTGACCCTCCTCACTGGCAGAGCATGAGACTGAAAAGTCTTTCATCAGAGTAAGCATTACTGAGCAACAACTGAAACATGGTGTGTTATCAGCGTTGTTCTCAGACTAAAGTCAAAACCACAGCACTGCACCAGCTACTAGGAAGGAGAAAAATAACTGTTATGCCTGAACGCAGGATAATAGTTCAAACTGTAAATACTGGGGCCTTTCTCTGTGTTGTTTTGTCACCTGTTCCTGATGTTGTAATGTGGCTTAGAAAGAAGTCAACTGGGCAGCCAGAGAATGCAAGCAACTCCAGTGCTTCTTACAGCTGAAGGAACAGATTTTTCACTGAATGGATGTTTGTTTTGCCAGAAGTTCTAGTGTGAAATACTAGAGAAGTGCTTAATTTGGTCATGGGGGTGTGATAAAGGTGATTCAAGGCCAGGTTGGATGTGGCATTGAGCAACCTGCTCTAGTGGCAGGGTTTGGATCTTTAAGATCCCTTCCAATAGTTCTATGATGATTCTGTGACTGCTCTTCTCCTAATCTATCCCTAGAAGAAGAGAGAACAGCATATGTTGGTTCTTAAGCAAGCCATGAAGGCCCTGGGCCGTGGTTGTAACAAGTACTTCCCTAGGTCTGTGTCTGCTGTAAGCAGCGACAGGAGAAGAAAGAAGCTGGGTGGGCAGGGGCCGTGTGAGGCGGGGAGCTCTGACGGGAGAGCAAGAGACCGTGTGCGGGGCGGTTGGGGCGGGCTCGGTTCTTCCTCTCAGACCGGGCTGCAGGCGATGCAGAGCGAACCCGGGCCGGCCGTCGGGGCGAGGAGTAACCTGCACGGCGCTCGAGCAGAGGGAGACCCGCTGCAGGGCGCCGGGCGCTCA